TGTGTGTGTGTTTGGTCTATGAAATAGAACGAGGAGTACCAAGCTGGCCAGGTCGCTCAGAAGAGCAACTAATAAGAGGGCTATGAATCATGACACGGATGTCGTAGAGCTGCTTTCCTGAAGGAGTCACCCTCTACAGGAGGCGTCGCTGCAGAATTGTGAAAAAGAGACCTCCAGAGAAGTGCTGAAATCCAGTCCATCCGCAGAGCCAGTGATGCAACTTTAGGCGAATGACTGGACCACTCTGAGCCTCAGATTCCCCACTGCAGATATGGGTCAACTACACCCACTTTGCAGAATTTCTCTGAGGGTTAGATAAAATTATGTGTAAAGATATGTTTCCTTTCCCGCCCATCCTATCCCAGCGCCCAAAACAGAGCCAGGAGGATCAGGAGTTCACAGTTATTCTCTACAACACAGTGAAGCTGTGTTGGAAGCTGTCTGGGCTACGTGAGACCCTGACATGTGAAAGCAAACAGACAAGCAAAGAACAAAAGCAAAAACACATCCCTTCTTGCAGGGGGGAGGAACCCAGATCTTTGCTGAGTACAGGGAATAAGGGAACCCAAAGACCCTCTGTGCTTGGCCTCACACAACGCACCTGTGGCCCCTGTGCTGTGGAGCAAACCATTTCCACAGATGGAGATACATAAGAACAGTCATGTGTGAAGCTCAGCCCCACTAAGCATCCAGCAAACTATTCAGGGACTCCACAGTGCTCTGGTTTAGCAGAAGGCACTGTGGCCTCTCTCCAGGTCTTGCTGAATGATTGCCATCTGTCAGTCACAGCAGCACAGTCTACAGCAGCCCTTCTCCCTGCCAGTCATCGCCACCATTCTCCCCAGAAACAAGACACTAGTACACTTATTTGCCTAGCTACAATCAAGGGAGACCCCTGCTCTCTGTGTCTGCCTCCTGACTATGCTGGGGACTCTAACTGGTTCCTCTAGTTATACATACTCCAGGTAAAAGAAAGGTTTGAACTCAAGTTGCTTGTCACCCAGTAATTAGCCTAATGCTATCATATTGCTCAGGGCAGGGTCTTACAAGTCAGGTCCAGAGGCACATCCCAAGGCAGCCTTGTATGGGAGACCAGGAACGGAAGGAAGTTAGTTGCCTTTAAGCAAATGGCTCAGTCAGTAGAGTAGTTGCCAGGCAAGTGTGAAGCTCTGTGTTGTGGTCCTCAGAGCCCAGATAAAAAAACCAGATGTGGCAGCCTACACCTGTCACCCCAAGATGGGAAGCAGAGACAGGTGGATCCCTGGAAGCTCACTGGCCAGCTGACCAGCTTAGCTTAACCGTCCCAGCCAAGTCCCAATAAGAAATCCTGTCTCAAACAGAAGGCCTCTGAGGAGTAACCCCCAAGGATGTCCTCTGCACCTCACACACATGTGCAACACACACACACAGAGGGGGTGAGATCGTCAGCTTTACAAACTCACAGGCAACAGGAACTCTAGAACGATCCTATAAAGCAGTTTACCCCGTCTGCCAGGAACTCTTCAAGAATGCATCAGTGTACTGTACTTCCACACACCTTTTGTTGGTTTCGTGTCGGATGCGGTCCCTTGCTGCCTTTAAGTTTCTGGGGTTCCTCGCCTCTTTGCAAACAGTTCATTGCCTATAAACAAACATCTGAATATTTGCAGATGCCCAGGGCACAGAACACGCCAATTAATTTTTCCCAAAGCAGAAGTCCTCGGTAAGCAAAAATCCGCTCTGGAAATTGCTTGTTTTGAGAGTTCCTTTGGCTAGAGCCTTCACGTGAGGCACATGGCTATATAATTGTTGCTTCTGGTTCTCCTGTCCAACATTTGATGTGCTTCTGGCTGCACTGTGGACGCATCTCCGCCCTTCCTTGGGTGTGGTCAGCATAGCGAGGGCAAGTCCTTTTGCTCACCCAGCACCTCAGACAGAGGAATCCAAACGTGGGCGCCTAATGGGCATTAATGAGCGAAAGGTGTTGGCATCAGGACAGCCAGTTGAGCTTTGTTTCAAGTCCTTCCTCCTGGCAGAACTTAGACTTGGCAGCACCACTGACAGAGCTTTCAAGACTGGTCCACTGACATTCAGCAAGGCCCAGAAACATGCGCACAGTGTTTTAAGCAGCTGCAGACTTCCAGCTTTACTCAAGAAAGCTTCTGGTTTTGTTCTATGGGACTTCCTGTTGCATTCTGAGCTGCTCGGGGCGCGGCGTTGTTCTGTGGAACTTCCGACTGCATTCTGTGGGGCTCCTGCTCAGCTCAGCTCTGCGTTTCTTCCTACACCTTCAGTTCTGAGAACTTCCGGTTGCATTCTGGGGAACTTCCGGCTTCTTCCTGTCGAACTTCCCCGTTCTGTTCTATGGCGCTTTTCTCGCTGCCCTTGCCAAGTTTACTGGCCTCCTTCTGGAAACCAGGGTCTTTCTCACTTGGACCTCGTTGGGAGACTCCTCGTTGGGAGTTCATCCGTGGGTCACCATCTGCTTGTGACTGTCCTGCTTCTTTGTTAGGCCCTTGCAAGCTGTGTGCCAGAAAAACTTGAACTTCCCTCAGTATACCTCCATTATTGTCTGCCCTGAGGCTCCTGGTGGGGGAAAAAACAGTCGGTACCCTCCTTTCACTTATTGGAAATGTCTGTATCATATATGTGTACTGTAGAGGAATTTGAATTCAGAACATGGCTGCTCTGGCAAGAGGTTACATCCAAAGACCTTCTAGGGTGTGTGATCCAGCGGAAATCAAAGATGTCTTTAATCCGGGAGGCAGGCAAGCAGCTCTGAGTTCAAGGCCAGCCTGGTATGGAGCATGTAAAGAAAAGCTTAGGTCCAGCTGAGATGGTATATGCCTTTAGTCCCACACAATGTAGGTAAAGTTAGTTTGTAGAAGGAAGCACCCATGTTTGAAAGTGATGTCTAATTGAATGGCAGAAACAGATTGACACCACAGGTGATACAGATAGAGAGAGGAGGGAGTTTTACCAGGACAATAATAGAGAAACAGGTTGTAGAAAGAGAGAGCTCAGGTGAAGACAGAAGGAGCCAGGAGATTAGAGCACATTGCTGGAGTTAGTTTGAGGCCAACCAGAGCAATTCAGGGCCAAGAGAGAAGCCTGATAGAATAAGCCAGCTGGGAGAGGAGTTTGAGCCAGAATCGCTGAGTTGAACCAGCCAGCAGAGTTCAGAAGCAACTAGAGACTTAAGCATTTTACCTCATAAAATGTGTGGTGCATTCAGAGTCTTGGTGCCTAGCCTAGGATGGCCTCTCTGTCCTCCTGCCTCTGCTGACTCCTAAGTGATAGGATTGCAAGTATGTGACACCATGCCCAGGCCTAGGGATTGAACCTAGAGCTTCCACATGCTAGGCGGGTGCTGTCACCGAGTCTCATCCCAAATCCCCTTCCCTATCTGTAACAGTAGAATGTTCACTAATGGGTTGTCTCCAAACCTCCCTCTTCACCAAAGAGTTCAGGTAATGTTCATTGAAGAGGAGGAATGGGGTGGGGTTGGAGGGAAGGCCTCACTGATTTCCACATAGAAGGCATGTCCCTCTGGCTGTGTCAGCAGCTAGAGCTTCCTGTTTGCAGGACTCTGTCTCTTCTATAATTTCCTCCTCTATCCTGTCATTCTTTGCTTACTTGAATCTGAACAAGCCTTGAAAGCAATGTAAATATTTGCTCCCGGAAAACTGTGCCCTAGCACAGGCTGATCTCGGCACTCTCCTCCTGGGCAAGGTTGGTCCTGGCTCATTTGTATCCTAGTGGGGCCACCTACCCCTGCTGAACCCCACTCTCTTGGTGATGTATTCCTTCAGGGAAGAGGCTGTGTCTTACTTTCTGAGCGGTGTCTTTCTGAGACACACCTTAGTTAACACCTTTGAGCCTCTGAATGTAGATAAGTACTTATGTATTATATTAATGTCTATGAGTGCTCTATCTGCATGTACACCTGCATGCCAGAAGAGGGCATTATAGATGGTTGTGAGCCACCATGTGGTTGCTGGGAATTGGACTCAGGACCTCTAAAAGAGGACAGACAGTGCTCATAACTGCTGAGCCATCTCTCCAGTCCCCCTTAAGCCATATCTGACCTCAGGAAAAAAATTAAAACTATATTTTCACTTTTAACCAACACGTAGTCATTATAAATAGCTATGTACTACGGTGTAACATTTCACCACATAAATATGCTGTGCAATCCAGATCAAGGGTACTAGCATATATCACCTTAGATGGCTGTTACTTCTCTGATGGGAAAATCCAAAAATCCTGTCTCCTAGTTCCTTGACTATATTGAAGAAATTGTCAGTCGCAGTTCCTGAGTTCCTGTGCTACAGAAGGTCAGACAATATTCCTGCTGTACTCCTGACCCACACAGCCACCTTCCCTCTACCCCTCCCCTGTATGC